TTCTGCACCAGCAGCCCCCACCTGGGAGACGCACAGTGGTCATTCTGCACCAGCAGCCCCCACCTGGGAGACACGCAGAGGCCAATCTGCACCAGCAGACCCCCCACTGCACACCAAATCATAGGGAGAAGTGAGAAAAGCGCCACCTTCTGTTCCACCACCATCACTACTGGGATCGACCTTCAAGTTAAGCAAAGGACCCCACTTAATCCCCTTCACCTGAGCTCGAGGTACTTCCCTCCTGCGAATTCGGCTCACGTCATATTAACAGAGAAACGACTTCACATCCAGGCATCCCTGCACTCCGATACTATTCTAAACACGTGGATCCGGGTGTTAATTCAGTGAAAAACGGAAACCGCTTCCTCCGAAGTGCGCTCAAACGGTTTCCCTGCGCAGCAGTGTTTGCACACTACTCTGTGTCCCCCCCCATGTGATATCAATGCTGTAAACATGACGTCTGTAAACAAGGGGGCTCCCTTGACCTTCCCTCCTAATCATGCACAAGAACCTGCTCCCGCTGCAGCAAAACAAACTGTCTCCCAGGCTTCCCAGTCCTGAGCTGAGAAGCGAGACGTACCTGTGAAATAATTGTGCCTGAGGAGTTTAGGCTCAGAGACTGCATTAAAAAGATGTTTGCATAGAACAATAGGGAAGGATGCACTGAAGTACCTAAGTGCTTCTTAACTACAGCTATTATTTTGTGAGGCTCAGGCGCTTTTTTAAAGAAGCACGAGAGAACGCTTTCATCAACCAATCACTGGTATCATTTCGGCATTTACGAGCGCAAAGTCCCTGAATCCATTGTGGTTATCGTATGTGCTGAAGAATATCAAAGAGCTCCCCCCCCCATTTAAAATTATTTTTTATATCGAACATTCTTAGTATTCTGGGACGAGATGCCTATTAAAAAAAAAAGAATAGATCTGCTTAGCACGGCAGGGGAAAAATAGTAAATCACAGAGCAACACCCATGGTTAACAAATATCTCGAAATTGGTTGATATTTTATCTCAACAGGGGAAAAACTCCATCTGCCTGTGGACGGGACTGCTAGCATCGTTAAGACAGGGAGAGATGCCATAATATAATTTCAGAAAGGACGTTCCTCTCTCAATGAATGACTCGCAGCAAAATGAGGATCCCTGGAAGTCAGAGCAGTCAAGCATTCACACGCGTTTGAAATAGTGGATTCCATTTTTCACAGGTTAATACTTATGAACTTTCTCTCGCCGGTTTTTCAAGCAATTCCTTATCTCTTCTCTGAATGCTGTAAAGCACCCTTCCGCCAGACATGCTACGTCATCTACTGTAGCTATCTGAGCAAAAAACGAAGAAACGCAGATGCAAACGAACCACACCACATGTTAAACACACCAGAAATATTACCAGGATGGATTTTAATTCCCCTGCAGGTGCACCCACGTCAGGCGTTTGCTTTTGCACGGTGCAGGCAGCAAAAACGCAAATACCTCCACCACCCAACTGGGGCTCCCACAACAGAACCGCACTAGACAGAGAAACCCGCGGAGTCCCGCCGAAGTCCATTTCAGGTTTTCACAGCCGCGGCGTCCTAAACGCACAGCCACAGCAACTCCTGGATACCATTCGCCTAAGTTCAGAATTCAGCCACATTCCAAACTTTTCACTTCCCTGCTTCTTCGGGAAGGCAGTCCGGAAAACCCCAACCGGCTCCCACTGCCAGGCGATAAAAAAAGAGCTCTGGTTTTCCGCAGCTTCTATCCCCCCAGAGCCACGACCCTTTCTCCATCAGCCCCCCCCTCTCCTACCTTTGAGGTCCAGGTTGCGCGCGCCGTTGGAGTGCTGCGTGACCGTGCGCGAGTCGATCTTCAGGGTGTGCACGTTGTTCGCGTCCCGGGACACCACCACGTTGTGCCACTGGTTGTCGTTGAGCTGCTTGTCCGAGTTGCCCTTCATCAGCGACGGCCCGTTGCCCAGGTCGAAGACGTAGTGGATGTACCTGCGCAGGCGACAGGCCGCAGAGCGGGGGTCAGAACCGGAGAGCCGCACTCCGTCACCACCACCCGGACTGCGCCAGTCCTCCCACCCCCCCAATACTGAGCTGGTGACCCACAGGAACGCACAGAGCTCCCGCTGGCAGAAACGGCCCCTTAACACTTCTCTCTGGGGTACCTGCTGCACCCCTGGGGGAACGCATCCTCACTGGCTACACTTTTCAGCCGAGGTCTGGGGAGCGTTCTGGCGCCATCGCATCAGCCAGATGGATGCTGCACATTGGTGGTGGTGGTGGAGAGGAGTCCCCATTACCTGTAAAGCGCTTTGAGTGGAGTGTCCGGAAAAGCGCTCTATAAGCATAAGCAATTACTATTATGATAATTACTTTTCAAACTCTGTGAACGTTCACATACACCTCTACACCTACAGGTGCACATGAGCGTCACAGGTGCGTGTGCTGTGATGTGAACACCAATACACACATACACAGCACACCTATTGGTGTTCCTACACACATATTAGGCCTATTGACCTGGAGCACCAATGTCACCCTGCGGAAAAAGCACACAGATTCTCAGAGGAGAAAACAGGTGACAACAACTCCGTGGCCATCAGTATGGATAACCAGACAGGCTGCAATACAGTGCTGTTTTTCTGCTTCCTTTCTTGTTTGTCCGACCGCTGAATGTCAAGGTCACATTTTATGATGCAGTTCGGTGCTCTGAAGACGAGCAGGGGGTACGTTCACATTCACAAGTCGTTTATAGTTGCCGGCTGAACAGGACTTTTTTTTCAGAAAACGACCCAAATCATATTAAATCATTTGGGCGTCCTGACGAGTTATCTAAAAATAGGTGGTATATTAGGACTCTTTTATTGTACACAAGACGTTTTTCTGTCATTAAGAAGAGCTTTACAATGCCCTTCAATGCAAATGCCCAACACAAAGACAACAGACAAAGCTTGGAAAAAAAAGCAAACGGCTATTATCTATTAAGTAGTTCGTATAGATCAGAGGTTCCCCATCTCGTAGAGAAGCAGGTCTGTCTGTTCCAATTATCTGTTTAAAACGAGCTCGTTCTTCAACTAATTAAAACCCATTTTTTCAGTCTACATGTTCAGAATTTTTTCTTCCTTCTGAACTGACTTAAGCCGGAAATGTTGGGGTGTGGGGTGGGGGGAGACGGGCACAAACGCTGTAGCAATTTCCGGGTTTCAGACCTCTCCTCTTTTAGGTGTCCGGAATTTAATCAAATGGAAGGACAATGCGAGTCTATGGAAGGCGGCCTCATCGCCGGCAATATCTGCACATTTTCAACTGACAGGCTAGTCAGAATTGTTTAGACCCCCATAGAGGATCACCAATGTCATAAGCAAAGTGAGAACCGTCTGAAGAGATCTATATTAGCACAAGCATCACGAGAGCAATACACCCACGGCAGGGTGTTCTTGAGACCAAAGGGCCGCGTGCATTTAACTAGGCTGGGCTCAAGAGCTTTTGGAGAAGGTATTTTCGCCCCAGCTCTTCACCGAGACGGAAACTGCGAATCACGCGTCCCTGAAACACCGCTCAGCTCCAGCCCGTCACGCTCACCTGTCTCACGCTTCGAAGATGACGGAGGTGAGAAGGCGCCGGAGGTGAGTTTCATTGATTTGAGCGGAAGGCTACTGGTAGAGGTGTGATTTACAGAGTGTACCATGACGAAAGGTGTTGGGGGGAGGGGGGTTGGGGGGGGTCAGTGCAAGTTCAAAACGATCCGAACGCCGTTTGCAAAGGGAACAGAACCCACGTCGGAGGCAGGAAACTTCAAGAGCGTCACCACCCATCAAGAGTTCGCTTAAGGGCATCCATGAGGCTCGGTCACTCAATACCTGGTTGGAATGAAACCAGGTCTGACCCTTTAAAAAAAAAAAAAAAAAAAAAGGGGCCCCCCCCGGCCTGGAACCGATTCTACCCCATTTCGCGTTATTTGCTCATTTAAAAAAAAAACTTATCGGGCGCCCCACAGATATCCCAATACATCCGCAGCAACAAAGAAAATGGCTTTAGACGACCAACCACCCATTTTCTACCCTTGTTACCCAGTAGAGGGGCGTGGGGGGCCAGAGCCAGAGCCTATCCCAGCAAGCAAAGGGCACAAGGCGGGGTACGCCCTGGGTGGGAAGCCAGAGCACCCAGTGGAAACCCACGCCATTACGGGGTGAACACGCAAACTCCACGCAGATCGCAACGGAATAAACAGAACCCGGGACCCCAGCGCCGTGAGGCAGCAACGCTCACCAATGCGCCACTGTGCCGGCCAGCGTTTAACAAACCCCCCCACCTCAGTGTTTAGGATTCCCAGCTGTAAAGTCTCTTGAGTCTGTCCTCGCCCTTCACACTTTTGCTTCTCTCCCTTCCTCAAACCGAGCTCCTGGGATGCAGGGTTGGACACGCGTTCGAACAGGGGACCGCCACCGACGAGGGCAAAGTGCAGGGGTTTCCGCATCTAAAGCGGATCGACGCCACCCACGGTGAACGCCACGTGGCTCGAGACCCAGAGCCATCTGGGAAGAGAATCCGGGCTACAGGGCGAGATCACGAGCGGGGTTTGCAGCCACAGCTCTTCAGCTCCATTCAGTGGCATCCACCTTCATGTTCAAACGCTGAATGTTTTTACCAGCGAAATAACCGAAGACAAAAACCCCCCGTACGGCTGTGCGCCTGGTATTTAAGATTGCGAGATGCCTCCTGCTGTTTAACCGTTTGCCAGACGACTGCATTTCTAGGTGGAGGGAGAAGAACATTAAAGTTATTTCTCTCTCTCTCTCTCTTCTGAAATGAAAAGGGTTTTTTCCATGCACATTTTTTTTCCCCCCGCGCTGAATAAAAACAATATCACTTGAATGAAATTGTACATTTCCAGTCCCTCTGCCTGAAGCCGGCGATGCTTTATTGTTCCTCATTATGGGACGTGATTTATAGCCCCTAACTCGGGCCAAGACCTCTTTTATATCCTCTTTCTTTTTTCATTTATTCAGGCAATCGGAGGGGCATCCAGGAGACGCGAACAGCCAAACTAACAGCTTTTGCAAAACAATTCAAAGTGAAAACTGCATCTAGCGCGCTACTGAATTAATGACCGAGGCTGGAAAAGACATTAAAACATTGAAAAGCATGGATTTTATAAATCTACATTTTCCTGGGTCGTATCTGTAATGAAATATTGAAAATACTAAATCTTTTTTTCTTCTAAAAAAAAATAAATTGTGAATTTATGTATTTTTTCTCAGATGCCACACGGGGGAACCTCTCTAATCTCTTCTCCAGCTTTTGTTTCTTGTTCTATGTAAGGACTGGCGGATTAGTTTTACATAAATAGTGCAAAGACAATGCAGGGAAATACAGAAGCAATGTAGCCTCCTAATCCTCCTGGGTACCCTGAAATACACCACTTACTGCAATCTCAGAGCTAAGATCAATTTTAACGGCAGCTATGACCTCATACCAGGGCTTAATGCCACTTTGAGTGCAGAGGTGGGGGAGGAGGGGTATTTTGCATTATGCGATCATATCATCAAACACATCAGTGGCAATTCTAAAGCATTATCGCTTCCAAAAGAACATGACAATAAACACAAGCTACAGCCCCATACCGTAAAAACAAGATCATTACCTAGAGCTGTGAACCACAATTCACCCGATCTTGAAAAGTTCCAGAAAGAAAAAACTCGAACACGCCAGCTTTATTTTCCGTTTGATTTTGTTATTAATCATGTTAGAAAAAATCGTGACATGAGGGATAAGAGTGACACTTAGGCTATGGTCAGGATAAGGGGTCTTGTTACTAACATACAATCTGCTGTGCAGGTTTTTATTTATCTCACTTACCATGTGTCACTCTAGTAGTATACGCCTTTAACTTATTTCATTTGTCAAGCTTATAAATGTCATTTGTGACCCCAAAACTAATGACACCATTAATGGAAAAATGCTCTACAGCAGGGGTGCCCAACCCTGTGCCTACAGAACTACCTGTATGTCTTTGGGATTTCATCCCAGCTGAGCTCTGAACAGCTTAATTGGAACAATCGGTTGCTTAATTAGAAGACGTTAAAATGTTCCAGATCTCTTGATAATTGAGATTTTAGTGCTGCCTATAAAAACAAAACCGAGAAAACGGCTTCCCCTCCCGGATGAGGCATGCCTGCTCACGAGAACCTGCAGAAATTCTGGCGCAGGCCCTCAAACGCCACGCAAGGGACCTGAATACAGCGTGCAATCCCAAACAGCCATCACGGCGTTCAGAGCACTTGATAATGTTTGAACTTTATGAGCCACCATATTTTGACCAGCTCTTTACATCCTGAGCACGCAGACAGATACATACATACGGGTTAGAAAGAATTGTTGGAGGAGTGCATGTCGTCCTAATATGCAGTCTGTTCAGCAGTCTGTTTAAACTTTCTTTAAACGCTATAACCGTCTCTGGTCTCTGTCAAACCTACGAGGCGGCGCAATGGTTCGATTTGTGGCCCTGCGTGTGTGGGTTTCCTCCCACAGTCCAAAGACAAGCTGGCGGGCTCACTGGCTCCTGGGAATACTGGCCGTGGTGGGGGTGTGTGCGCCCTGTAATGGACTGGGATCCTCCCCAGGGTGTACCGCCCGCCTTGTGTCCCCAGCTGGGATAGGCTCTGGCTCCCCCACAGCCCTGAACTGGAAGGAGTGGTGAGAAAACGGGTGGGCGAGTCAGAATTGACCTGGTACCCCACAAAGCAGCTGCAGGTGAGATTCCGTCAGGGGGGAAGTTTATACTGGGGGTGGGACGGGTTCGAGGAACATCTTTCCAGGAAAACTGTACCGGTTGTAATATTTATTAATTAACCATACTAATTTTGCACTGTTCCAAGAATTACCTTGCACTGTTTTTGTCCTGCTATATTTTCTCTGTTTGCAGAATTTTGCACAGTTTTGATTACGTCTTATTTATGTTATTACACGTTACTGTTATTGCTATTGTGTTACTGTCTATGGTCTCATCTTCTGTCCTATTTGTATACTGCACCTGAGTGTCTAATGAGAAACACCTTTCACTCTACTATGCACCTGTGTCAGTATAATGCCAATAAAGTTGAATTGAATTGAAAAAGGAACCCCCCCCCCACGCGCTGACTGAGCAACTGTCCAGCTCGTGGGATGGATCCACCACCCCACGCCCCACAACCCACAAAAAACAAACAAACAGGGACTTCTGCCACGACTGCGCGCCAGCCAAAAGCAGGGCAAACCCTAGCCCCCCAGATGCACGAGATCCTGCCCCCCCCCCCCCGGAAAGCTCACCCCTTGACCAGCTCCACCACGATGAAGTCGCTGCCGTCGCCGCTGTTGAAGAGCAGCAGGCCGTCGGAGGCGGTGGTCTTGAACTGGAAGAAGAGGTGCATGGAGGCGTAGGCTTGCAGGGTGGCCAGCGCCAGGTAGCTGCCCTTGGAGCGGAAGGTCACGGGGTCGGCGATGATGTGGCGCATGCCGAAGCGCGCGTTCAGCTCGCAGTAGCTGATGTCCCCGTTCTTGCACTGGTCCAGGTAGGGCACGCCGTTGAACGACAGGCCCTGCAGGTGCCCGATGAAGTTGGACGGCACCACCGAGATGAAGCGCCGCTCGGTCATGATGCCCGTCTCGATGTTGTGGAACTCCAGGCGCGTGTGGGCGCCGGTCATCGTGCCTGGGGGGGGGAGGCGTGGAAGGAGTGTGAGCACACACAGGGCTTGCAGAGGAATCCTGCTCCGTTGGGCCCCTGAGCGAGGCCCTTCGCCCCAGCTGCTCCCGGGGCGCCGTATAAATGGCTGACCCTGCGCTCTGACCCCCAGCTTCTCTCTCCTTGTCTGTGCGTCTCCTGGAGAGCGAGTGGGGGTGTGCAAAAAGACACATTCCTAATACAAGAAATTGTATATGGCTAATAAAGTGCTCTTAAAAAAGACAAGACACCCGCTGCATTCAGAAACCGCATTCTCCCTCCTCACCAGAGCGCACAGGGCAACAGTCGAGGAGTCACGCAAAACGGCATCCTTGGCCGGTTATTTCACGTCTCATCCGAAGGACGGCGCCTGTTTACAGTCTAGTGTCCCCCGTCACTATACTGAGGCATCAGGACCCACACAGACCGCAGGGTGAGCGCCCCCTGCTGGCCCCACTAACACCTCTTTCAGCAGCAGCCTCAGCTTTCCCAGGAGTCTCCCCTCCAGGCACTGGCCAGGCTCACACTGCGGAGCTCCAGTGGGGGAGCTGCAGGGTGATACAGCTGCTGGCCTATACACTAGCACACGAATATGCACTGGCTACAGTCATACCTGCGCTGTGTCTAACTGCGTCTCACCGGGCCAGTACCCTGATCCAGTTCCATCCCGGAGAGAGGAAGAAAGCTCATTTCATTGTGCCCCTCCAGGTACTGCCCAGGCTCACCCCTGCTGAGTCTCCAGTACGTAGTGAAGGCGGAGGCAGAGGGGGGTGTTGGGGTCAGTGTACCCGTCACTATACTGGGGCATGAGGACCCACACAGTGAGCGCCCCCTGCTGGCCCCACTCACACCTCTTCCAGCAGCAGCCTCAGCTTTCCCAGGAGTCTCCCCTCCAGGTACTGGCCAGGCTCCCACACTGGGGGGGGGGCTGTGGTCAGACGCTTACCTTCCACAGTGACGTTGTCCACAGAGAGCTGCAGGCTCTTCCCTCTGCGCACCACCTTCACCCCGTGCCACTCGTTATCGTTCAGCTTCTGCCCCGCGAACAGCGTCTCCGGTCCCTTGCCTGCGGGGAGAGAGGGCGCCAGTCACGCCAGGGAGGGGGGGCCACAGGGGCGTCTTCTCACCAGGAGGCAAGGGCGCAGACCAGACCGAGCCCCCCCCCCCATCACTACCCAGGAGAAGCCAAGGCAGAGAAGCAACGCCTTGGCCTCTTCTCCTCCCCCACACAAACACACACTCAGACACACCCACCCACGCACACACACCCACACAGATGTGTCACCTGCATGTTTCCTCCTGCGTTCCTTCTCCATCAACCCCCCCTCCTCCTCCCTTTCTCTGCGCGTTATCGATAGGTGATGCCAACAGGCACGCACGCACGCACGCACGCACGCACGCACGCACGCACGCACGCACGCACGCACGCACGCAGCATCTGCCCGGCGCTTCGCTCGGAAGCCGAGAGCCGCTGGAGATCCGCGATCACCTGGGCGCTGCGATGACCGATTCGCCCGGATGGAAAGGGGGGGGGGGGACAGAAGCAAAAATAAGAACCCTAAAGGCTCCCATTAGTTTCCCCCCTCCCACCCTTTCCATCCGGGCGAATCAGTCATTGCAGCGCCCAGGTGATGGGGGGGTCGAACTTGCAGAACTGTCCCCGATCATACACGCACGACGTAACTTCCACTTTCTCTGAGCACTTCTGACTGACTGCTGAAGCCACGGTCAAGTCTCTGGACTCGTTCACATCAGCGTTCAAGCACCTGGCACGCGTGCGTTTCCCTGCACCCTTAAAGAACTACACGAAAAAAGACACAATAAAGGTCTTGGAAAGGACAGGGAAAAGACACTGTAAGGGTCTCTGCTCTTTACGGTAGGAAATAGGGTGCATTGCTCTCATCAGGCTGAGGGGCATTTCTCGGGTTC